CCGCGGCGTCCGCCTCCGGCACGGGGACGGCGAGCAGCACGGCGTGCGGGGCGGCGGCGCGCGCGGCCATGTGCAAGACAGCGGCGGCGTCGGCCTCGGACTGTACTACGGCCGGGGCCGGCAGAGTGCCCCGCGAGTAGAAGGCGGGGAAGGTGTCCGCGCGCAGCACGAGGACCGGGACCGAGTGGGTCTCCAGTAGCTCCAGGGTCTTCCGCACGTCCAGGATGGCCTTGACGCCCGCACACACGAGCAGCTGCGGGATGGTGGCCAGCGCGGACACGTCGGCAGACACGTCGCCCGTGTCCGCGGCGCCGCGGTGCACGCCGCCAACGCCGCCGGTCGCGAACACGCGCACGCCGGCGCGGTGCGAGATGGCCATGGTGGCAGAGACGGTGGTGGCGCCGGTGTGGCGCTGGGCGTACGCGAGCGGCAGGTCGCGACGCGATAGCTTGAGCACCGGGGTGGAAGACAGGTGGTGCAGCTGGGGGCGGGTTAGGCCGACGTGCGGGACGCCATGAAGGACTGCGACCGTTGCTGGGGTGGCGCCTAGGTCGCGCACGACGGATTCGAGCGCGTGCGCGACGGAGAGGTTGGTCGGGTAGGGGAGCCCGTGGGCGATTATGGTAGACTCGAGGGCGACGATCGGGAGCGAGTGGGCGAGGGCATGACGCACATCGGCGGAGAGATGGATGTCCGGGGAGGGGGGCGGCATGGTGGCGGGAGGCGATGGGGGGACGGACGGAGCGGGAGGAGTAGGAGGGGGAGTAGGAGGGGGACTACACTGTACTGTAGCTAGGAGGGAGGAACAGGAGGGAGGAACAGGAGGGAGGAACAGGAGGGCGGAGGATGGGAGATCTCGAGACTGTAAGGAGGAGGGTTTGTGAAGTTTGACTTCGTTGGGACTGTAAAGTTACTGTATGTACTACATACAGTAACTTTACAGTACATACTATGTACAGTACTGTGACACGTGGTTGGGACCGGTGTAAGTAATTGGAAGTTTAAGTTAGTAATTGTAGACCGCGCGCAAAAAGAGTATAAATGCGGTGGTTTTCGGTCGTCCTGTACGGCCGAGGGGAGGGAGACATCACATCACAAAAAAACACACACGGGTAAGACACGGGACGACGTACCCCGTTTTCACCCTAACATGGTACTCTTGTGGAGGGCCGACGCCAACAGTCAGGCGGGTCCCGCTTCCCTGGTGTTCGATGGTAAGCACGAGGCGGATGTCGCCAAGTTCTTCTTTGTCTACGAAAACGTCGTAATGAAAGGCAAGTCCGACGAAGACAAAGCCGGAGAGCTACTGTGCTACCTGCAAGGGGAGGCTTTCGACTACTACTATGAAACGTACAGCCAAGACGGTGGACTGAACGAGGCGGCCAGCGACTACCAAGCCGTCAAGAAGGCATTGCTCGACCGTTTCGAGTCAGTCCCTAAACCGGAAGAAAACATCAGGCTCGCAGTCGCGAGTAGGTTGGACGGCAACGACGTGCTCGCTTCGTTAAACGCGATGGATCGCCGCTTCGATAAAGCAGCTTTCAACCCCGAAGCCAAGTTCGGACTACTCCGGAACGCGGTCATGGAGCACACCGACGTGTCACAGTTCGTCTTGTATAGGGCACCTACCTCGTACGGGGAGCTGAAGAAGGCCGTTAAGGACTTCGTGTCTGGCCGCAAAGCCTTTATGGCTGCACACAATGCTAGGCAAACTCAGCCTCCGGCGCCTAGGCGCATTCTACA